AAGACAGCCACCCGCAACAGGAAGCTGCCGTGAGCCAGGCTGCAACCCAAACGAACACAGGACGCACTCGCAGCAGGAAGCAAGCCATAGGCAGCCTTCCGAATCCAAAAACGGGCCCCCTTATCCCGACTACAGGCCTAAAGGCGGTCCGGAGCCTCCTGAGCCCATCAGTTACCAGCACTCGGGTGGGAAGTACATCCCAGCAAACCAGGAAACCCTGAGACTGAGCCACAAGGAGGTGAGGTTAGCAGAGGACCGGCCAGATTTGGAAAGGCCTCGAGCCAGGCCGACCACTTCTGTGGAGAAACACTCCAGAGACTGCTACAAAGAAGAGGAGCACGCCGCCTCCCCCGTGGCGCCACCGCCCAAGCCCGAACGGAGCCACAGCCTCAGAGTGCAGCACCCCGAAACCATGGAGAGGGACTCGGCCCTCCTCTACCCATACCAAACCCTCGGGAAGCGCCAAAGCACTATGACTGTGGTGTCCCAGTATGATAATTTGGAGGATTACCATACCATGCCTCAGCACCAAAGAGGGGGCTATGTTGGAGGAGGGGGGTTTGTGCCCCCTGGGTTTTCCCATGTGCACAGTAGGACTTATGCCACGGCCCTGGGCCAAGGGGCCTTCCTCCCAACGGAGCTGTGTTTGCAGAGGCCTGAAACGGAGGTCCACGTTGAGTGAGCTGGTGTGGGGGGAAGGAGGGATAGAGTCTAAGCAGCCTCTGCTGGACAGTGGACTGTTTTATTTTTTCAGTGACAGGAAAAAAAAAAAAAAAAAAAAAAACCACACACACACCCCACACACCCTGCCCCGATCAGCAAAGCAAACCCACCTTCAACCCCACCCCTACCAGCCCACCACTCACTGTTTTTATGTAGTAGAGCTATAGCTTTTTCATGTAGCTTGAGACAACTGGAATGATAGGGCAGGCTGTTGGCACACAGAAAGATTGAGAGAGAGAGAGAGAGAGAGAGAGAGAGAGAGAGAGTTGCCAGAGAGGCAGGGCAGAGATGAAGGAGATGCTGTTGGGGCAGAGGGGAAGAAAAAGAAGTTTTTCCTTCCCCAGATTTGACATAGGCAGTTACCACTGCTTCCTCACAACGCCTCCATAGTCCTGTGCATGATGGACTGTGCATGCAGCTGTTGTTGTTGTAAATCCCACGTGTAGTAAGTTGCCCTTCCCGCTACTAGCTTCCAAGGAAGGGTCTCAGTGACGCACCTTGGAGGAACCACTGTTCTGCCCCCTTTGAGGTTATGCAGCAAGAGTAGGCTAAAAGCTGGGGGGAAAGACTTCCCAAGTATTTTCTCCTAGACAAATGCCGAGGTCCTGCCTCTCCCTGGAAAATTATTGCTTAGGCACAGTGGATCGCTTGAACTGCTCTGAAGTGGGTTGGAGCCTGTTTTGTCTTCACTTGGTGGAATAGGCTTTGAAGCAAGTTTGAAATACAGCGCGCTTCCTAAATTGCTTGCTTAATAAGCTGCTTCCAACTACAAGAAATCAAATTACTTTAAATTTCTGTATTGTAAGTGGAGGCCAGCTATAGAAGCCAAGTAGGGCAGGTCTGCATTTCTCATTCCCAAAGAAAAACCATACACACAGTTGGGAACAGCACACCCATTTCATGCCAATTTCCTCTTTACTGCTAGGCTATCTACAGTCCAGACGACTTAATACCATGTTGTGGCTGGCCAGACGGTATCATCACCTCTCTACAAAAAAAATTCACTATAGCATTATTATGCCCAGCTTGAAAACTGGAGCACAGCTTACCAGCTGGGAATGACTGTGTAAGTGCCGAGTTACCTGCATGACCAGATATTTGCCCTAGGCCAGATCCTGCTGCTCTTAGATCTGGGAACGCTCCTATTGACCTTAAACCGAAGGCTCTACAGGACACAGCTTTCTGTAACCTTTCAGTTCCATGCTGGCAAGGGCATCCCTGTGAAGTTGTGGCACATACAGAGTAGTTACACGCTGTCTGTGCACTGTGAAATAGTATTGCCTCCCTTATTGCAAGCGTAGATCATACCAGTATTCAGTTAGCAGTAGGGACAAAAGGCCAGTGCACTCTTTCTAACACACTAATAACGTTGTCCTAGGTATTTAAAAGCTTTCCGCGTTGTAAAAGCAGCCAGGCAGCATCTCATCTGCAGCGTCTCAGACTTCCCAGAGCTCACTACAACCCCACCTTATAAAGCACATCCACCTCACTCGACAGGGCTTGCGAGCAATACTTGAGATTTGGGAGTTTTTTTAAACGCTCACTGATAAATACCAAGGCCATTCCTGTTCTGTTTGGTTGAAGAACTTCTCTACCTGTTTTGAATCTCTGATGTCTTATTAATCTGGAGGTCCTGCAGTTAGCAGACAGCTGTGAAAGCTAAAGGGAACTTGTATCAGAGGCTTTTTTGGAACAAAAATTTCATGGCTATTTTGGGGCTTTTACATCACAAGGAAAAACCCGCTTCTAGTCGCTAACCAGGCTTTAGCTATTTGCTTCTTTTAACCTTGTAGCCTTGTCCGGGGCTGTTTCAGTAACAGTACCTTATGGTCCTACTTTATTGTGCAACGCTATTGTTTTAATTAAGCATTTTGTTTAGAAGAGGTCTTACATGTCGCAGAAATAAAGCTGGCAGTCAGAAAAAACAAAGCACTGCGATCCAGGTTGCCACAATCCCCTTGTGACTAGTTACCAGGTAGAGGGGTTTGTTTCTTTGTGGGGGAATGCTTTTGTCGTGTTTTTCTTTTAAGAGAAAAATAATAGAGAGAAAAGGGGCCATTAGGTGAGCCACACTGTGGGCCATCTTGTCTGCATTGCTAGCTAATTCCCTAGTAAAGGCTGAACAATCCACGTTCCTTGGTGCAAGCTAGCCAAGGGAGCCCGGTTTAAGTATGCGCTCTCAAGAGAGGCGTGGGTTTTTTGTTTTTCATTTTTAAAAAGGATTACCACTAGTCCTCCACCACCGTAGCACAGTATCCCCCCATTGCTGCCAGTTACCTGCTAAGGTCTCCAGTTGAGGCAGGGACATGCGTTTGGTTCAGGCTATTTGGGATTCAGGTAATGAGAGTTGTAGGTCAAACCTCTCTCTCCATGAAAGCCTTAACTCCCCACTCCTGCCCCCTCAGCAACTCTCTTCCTCCTTAACCTCCGTTTTGGCCGGCTGAACTCAGCTCCCACCAACTGTAGATGCCTCTCTGGATTTTCCTGCTCAAATCTACTGTCTCCCTTCAGGTATCAAGTGCCATCCCTGGACAGTTTCTGTTCCTTATAGTCTTTTGCTACTACTGCCCGAGCCTGGGCTCTTCAACTCATTGCACTGTACGAAGTGCCAGGTGCTAAGCACCCTCTCACCTTGGAGTCCCCCTCCTCCCACCTCAAGGAAGGCAAAAGCTTTCAGCACCTTTCGGAAATAGCCCCCAGAGGTGCACCTCTATACACCTAGACGGCTGCTACAAACAGTCTTCCCTAGAGGACAAGGTGGTCTCTATTAAAAAAAATAGTAGTACTAAATGATCCAGCTTCCTCCCATCCCTCCGTGCACAGTCACATCAGCACATACTTTGAGGGTTGCAAGCTCTCAAAGAGCGCCCAAACTGACTTCTGTACGCCAGCGTTGGGCCACAAGTACAAAACCCACAAGGTTAAGGCATTAGCTTTTCCTAAATAAAGGATGCGCACCCTTCTCTTGGTGTTGCCACTGCCCGCAGCTTGGGCGCCTACTATGATTCAACCATCATCCCCGCATCCACCCCATAAAAGCCATATAGTGAACTATGCAGTTCTGCTCTTGCACTGTGGTCAGTCTGATGCTCATTAGCAAGACAGTTTTCCCATCCCCATTAATTGATTCAGTCCAAGTCAAAACATCCAGCTGTCTCTTTCCAGACTCTCACGCTGAGGAAAAGTAGGGCATTGTGCATCAAAGCCAGGAGGGGAGGTTACACCAGATGACTAAATAAGGTGGGTGATACAAAGGTAAGTCAGCAGTTCAGCTCTTCGCATCCTAGCGGAGAAACCGGAGAAAGCAGGGGGACAGCAAGGCAAGTAATATTCAACTGCAAGTCTAGTTCTGCGCAGGTTAAGTAATTTATTGCCTAACCTCATCTCCAGCAAGACGTCAAGCAGCTATACTTTTAAATAACTCCCTTATACTTGCCAAAGGCTATCTGCATTTTAAATTGCCGCTTCCTAAGTTTCCAGCTGCCTCTCTCCCTAGCGCATGTAAGGGTTAGGGTCCAACAACATACTCCAGCTCTGGATTTCCACCTCCACCTTGGACCAGAACGTGAGAGACCCGTAGGAGACCTTTGTTGGAGAAGGGGGAGTGCAGATGTTAGGTGAGTAACTAGGACCTAGCCCCTATAAAGTCTTAAAGCATTAATTATTTTAAGAGTCTTAGGAGGTGAAATCTATAGGTGTATTTGACAGAACACCCACAACTTTGTGCCTGTGTCCTTCCAGAGATCCTCATTTTAATGTTCATCACTTGGAGGGGGTCAGTTAGGATTGCACAGTGGCAGTAAGTTGCTACACAAAACCAAAACCATCTTGAAAACATATTGTTCCTCTTTAACCCCAGAAAGGGACAGAACCTCCCGTGTACTCTTTGCCATTCATCAGCACGTCGACAGGGCGTTGGCTGATGTGTTACGTGTTAGGAAACCTGGACGAGATCGTTTTACTTTCTTTAGTTAAAGGCGGCTTAGGCATGCAACTCTTTCTCCAGAACCTCGTGCTACAGAAATCCAATGTGGAAAGGCATGGTCTGGTTTAAACATACATTCAACAGAATACCTTTGTGTGCAGAGTCTTGCCTTGTCCAGTTTGTTGAAGGGTGGGGGGTGGAGGGTGGGGGAGAAAAGGGTTGTTTTTGCAGTTCATTTTCCTGCTGTAGAAGACTTGATTTTTCTTTCCCTGAGCCGCATGAGAGAAGCGTCCCAGAAAGTCTTGGGTTACCTTCAGAGTTCCCTTCACTTTAATTTATATAGTGTCTTTTTTTTGTGAACTGGTGTAAAATGTATATGCCGACAAGCTCATGTATTTTTATGTAAATATTTTTTGTGGTTTCCCCACTGCCCTTCTCTGTAAATATTTAGAATTCTCATTCTTCTCACCTTGTATGATGCAGATGTGGTTTTGTTTCCGTTTTTTATTTGTACTGTAATGCAACAATCCAGACTGAGGTGTCTTGTGGTATTAAACAAAAGCAACAGTCCCACTGAGCCCACACTCAGATGTACAACTTGACAGCATTAATCAAGCCAGGTTAAAAACTACTCCTTTGTGTTTGTGTGTATTTGTGCCTCTGCCTCATTAATTAATAGTATATTAAAAACTGGAAAAAAAAAATACAGCTTAGAGCCATACATTGGAGGGATGGTGAGAGAGAGAGACCCACAGCATATCACGAAGCAAAAACAAGAACTTGTCTTTCCTAGTCTCCCTTTCTTCTCACCTAGAAGGACAGTGCAAGGAGAAATGGTGCGGCACTCCCACGGAAGGCAGGGGGCAGATTAAGTTCGGACTAACAGATGGCACCGGCCACCTTGGCCTTCTGAGCTGGCCAGGGAGGGGTTCTAGGCACCGCAGGAATGTTGTTCATAGTTAATTAATAGCAGAAGATGATTAAAAGAAATTAATCAGATCTGCTGTTTTTAAACACTGCAAGAAAGACTTTTAGCAGGATATTCACTAGTTGAAAAAACTGCTCTCAGCTATATTCCCCAGTTCTAAGACCAGCCTAAGAGTCCGGTCCTCGGACAATGGGTTAACTCCTTCAGTTGCCATGTTGAGCCTGTACGTCACGATACAGCAGGGGGTTATTTGTTATCGTGTGTGCCCGTTTAAGAGCAGCAGGCCTGGATAACCTTTCGCGAGAGCACAGAGATGCTATATTTGGTTTTAGGGCTGTACACATAGACGCAGTCTGCTGGATATTTGCAGCATCCTCGTGCTCTTCATTGGGCGCTGCCAGATGTGTGTTCTAACAAATTTTAAGTAACGTTGCGAGTCCAGATATAAACAACACTTATCTCCGTCTCACAGAAAATATCGGGAAGAGGGACGGTACTGCAAAATTGAAGTCTGTTAACCTAAGAAACTGGACCCTCGGGCGGGGGGGAAAGGACGTTACTGACAAAGAGCATGCTTTCCCTGTTTGTTTAAGTTTGTGTCCAATGACATCGGAACCCCTTCTCTGTCTCTTCCATGCCCGGATCCTCACTTTACAATTCAGGTCTACTTATGACCACGCATTCCAGACTCTTTCACTAAACATTAGCGTTCTTGTAGGAAAGCTCCTTTCCTACCACGCGCCTACGTCTGCGGCAAGCTGAGCAACCCAAGCACTTCTCCATTGTTGGATTTCTGCTACGCACAGGGATTCCCTGCTGTGCCACAGCAGCACAGAAGGGATAGGAGGACCTTAGGAAGGTTGCTGTGCAAACCAAGTATCATCCTACATGATCCACACACTTCAGCAAAGGCAGATGCGTTAGCAAACAATCAAAAAAAATCCCGACTCTTCTGA